CGGCGGGCGGGGGGTGGGGGGGCGTCTCGCAGGGGTGGCCCGGGGCAACTTCACGGTGGTGGCGTGGCCGAGGGTGGCCGTGGTGGCCTTCGGGGGCTCGGTGGCCATCAACTGCAGCCTGAGCTCCTGCCCGGGGGGCAACGGCACGCTGGGGCTGGAGACCCCCCTGGAAGCCAGCGCCGGCTCGGGGGGGCTCCGCTGGAGAAGTTTCCTCCTCCCGAACGTGTCCCGGTGGCAACCGGGCCCCGTCACCTGCTCCGGCCGCTGCGGCGACAGCGAGGCCACCGCCAGCACCGAGCTCCTGGTGTACCGTGAGTGAGCGGGGGGGACACGGGGGGACACGGGGGGGGACAGCCAGAGCTGCCCGAGGTGGGGGGGGAACAACCAGGGGACCCCCGTGTCACCCCCCAGAGCTGCCCGAGGGGGTTGGGGGACAACCAGAGGACCCCCGTGTCACCCCCGAGGGGATTTGGGACAGCCGGGAGACCCTCGTGTCACTCCCGAGGGGGCTGGGGACAGGTGGGGTGACATCCAGAGCTGCCCGAGGGGTTTGGGGACAGCGGGGGGACCCTCGTGTCACCCCCGAGGGGGTTGGGGACAGCCGGGGGACCCCCGTGTCACCCCCGAGGGGGTTGGGGACAGCGGGGGGACCCCCGTGTCACCCCCCAGAGCTGCTGGAGCCGGTGGCAGTGGGGGACAACCCCGGTGGCAGGGGGGGGACAGGCGGGGTGACGCCCGTGTCGCCCCCCAGAGCTGCCCCACTGGGTTGGGGACAACCAGGGGACCCCCGTGTCTCCTCCGAGGGGGCTGGGGACACCCGCGGTGACCCCCGGAGCTGCCCGAGGGGGTTGGGGACAACCAGGGGACCCCCGTGTCACCTCCGGGGGGGTTGGGGACACCCGCGGTGACCCCCGTGTCACCCCCCAGAGCTGCCCCAGCGGGTGCTGCTGGAGCCGGTGGCGGCGGTGGCCGTTGGGGACAGCCGGAACCTGACGTGTCGCGTGCTGGAGGTGGCACCGCTGCGGAACCTGACGGTGACCCTGCGGCGCGGAGCCGAAACGCTGCGCACCGAGAGCTTCGGGGACACCGAGGGCAGCGCCAGCGTGGCCGTGAGTCACCTGCTGACCGCCACCCGCGGTGACCACGGCCAGGATGTCACCTGCCACGCCGAGCTGTCCCTCAGGCCACACGGGCCGCTCTTCGCCCGAGCCGCCGTCCCCGTCACGCTCTCGGTGTTCGGTGAGTGGCGGCCTCGGGTCCCCGCGGCCATCGGGGTCCGGTCCCCGGAGCCGCGGGGCTTCGGATTTTGGGGCGGTGTCACCTCCCGGTGTCACCTCAGTGCTCTGGGTTTTGGGGTGGTGTCACCTCCCGGTGTCACCGTGTACCCCCCTCGCGGTGCTCCGGGTTTTGGGGTCTTGTCACCACCGTGTCCCCTTGAGGAGCTCTGGATTTTGGGGTGTTGTCTCTCTGGATTTTGGGGTGTTGTCTCTGGATTTTGGGGTGTTGTCTCTCTGGATTTTGGGGTGTTGTCTCTGGATTTTGGGGTGCTGTCACCTCCCGGTGCCACCGCCTCCCCCTCGCGGTGTCCCCGCAGCTCTCCCGGAGCCTCCTCAGCTCCAGGTCCCCTCAATCCTCGAGGCCGGAGCCGCTGTCACCGCCGCCTGTCGCATCCCCGGCGCTTTCCCTGCCGGGGACATCCGCGTCACCGCCTCGCTGGACCGGGAGCCGCTGAACCTCACGGTGACGGTCACCGGGGACACGGTGACAGCCAGCACCGAGCTGGCCCCGCTCCTCCCGGGCCCGCGGCTCCTCAGCTGCACGGCCGCGGTGGCCACGGCGGCGAGGACGGCGCGGCGGCAGCTCCACGTTTACCGTAAGGCGGCGGGGAACGGGCGGAGACGGGGGAGAAACCCTTGGGGGGGAAAAAATAAAAATCCCTCTGGGAATCCGTGGAATATTCCCGCAGGATTCCCAGCGCCCGTCCTGGAGCTGAGCCCGGCCTCTGCCGCTGCGGGCAGCGAGGTGACCGTCACTTGTCGCACCGGGGCCACCGAGCCTCCCTCGGCGCGGCTGCAGCTCCGCGACACCCACGGCCGGGTTCTGGCGGAGGGGCCGCAGCCCCGCTTGAACCTCACGGTACCGGCCCGGCGCCACGACAACGGCCGCCGGTTCCGGTGCCGCTCCAGCCTGGCGGTGGGCGACGGCGTGGTGACAAAAGAGGCCGAAGCTCGGCTGGAGGTGCTCTGTGAGTGCCGCACCCACCGCCGCCCCTCCGGTCCCGGCTGGCCCCGCTCCAAAATCCCGATTTGTTCCCGCAGATCTCCCCGAATTCCCGGCCGGCGGCTGCCCCGGGAACCGCACGTGGCTGCGGGGGACGCGGGAAGCGCTGCGGTGCCTCGCCACCGGCAACCCCGAGCCCACCGTGGTGTGCGGCCGCCGCGGAGCGCCCGTGGCTACCGGAGAGGCGGAACCGGTGACCCGAGCCCGGGCCGGGATCTACCTGTGCAACGCCACCAACGCCTTGGGGACACGGAGCCGCCGCGTCACCGTGAGAGTGGAGTGTGAGTGTGGCACCGGGGGTGGCACCGCGGCACCGGAGGGTCCCTCGGGGTGACCGTGTGTCCTCTCTCTGTCTCTGTGTGTGTGTCCCTTGTCCCCAAGATGAGCCCACGATGTCCGAGTCGGGGTGTCCGGCACGCCGGGTGTGGCTGGAGGGACAGCGGAGGGAGCTGGAGTGTCGCGCCGATGGGGACCCCGCGCCCAGCACGCGCTGCGCCCGCGACCGCGGGAACCGTGGTGGTGACACCCGTGGTGATGACACTCGTGGTGGTGACACCCATGGTGATGACACTCATGGCAGTGCCACCCGTGGTGGTGGCACTCGTGAGGGTGGCACTCACGGTGGTGGCACTCACGGTGGTGGCACTCACGGTGACGCCCGTGATGGTGGCACCCCTGACCATGGCACTCACGGTGGTGACACTCATGATGGTGACACCCATGATGATGACACTCATGGCAGTGCCACCCATGGCGGTGTCACCCATGGCGGCGCCACCCACGGTGGTGGTGACACTCATGGTGAAGGTGCCACTCACGGTGGTGGCACTCACAGTGATGGTGACACTCACAGTGATGGTGACACTCACAGTGATGGTCACACTCACGATGGTGACACTCGCAGTGATGGTGGCACTCACGGTGATGGTGGCACTCACAGTGATGATGCCACTCACGGTGAGGGTGACACTCACAATGAAGGTGACACTCACAATGAAGGTGACACTCACGGCGGTGCCACCCCTCTCGGAAGTGTCACCCGTGGCCGCAGCCCCCGCGTGGTCACCCGGGCTGACGGCGGCCGCTACGTGTGCAGGGCCACCAACCGGCACGGGGTGGCCACTCGGAGTGTCCTTGTCACCGTGGAGTGTGAGTGGGACACCGGGGGGAGGGGACACAGGGGAGGGGACACTGGGGAGGGGACAGCGGGGGTCACATCCATACCGGGGGGAGGGGACACCCGGGGGAGGGGACACAGGGGAGGGGACATTGGGGGAGGGGACACCGGGC